TTGCTTATTAGTCCCTATTGTTACTTTACAATTTACCTCTCCCCCAATTTTTATACCTTTTTCTGAAAATTCCTGGGTTCATTGCGCAAATTCGTATGTGTGTACCAAATGCCATCAAAGTCGGGCTGGGAGCTACAGATCCGCCAACCAAACTAACATTGCTTTTGTTAGAGGGAATACTACCGTTTGGAATGCTCACCGGTTCTCCTCAGTTTTCTTAAAAGACAGTGAAGTTTTTGAAAGGATGCCTGCAATCGTCTTCAAAAAGATGGCCCTAGTTAAGCCAGCTGAGAAGGGGCTGCACCAGACTTGTGCTGAAATGGTAGGATACTTTCACTGTGATGGATTGATGATGCGCAAACATTCCTATGAATTTGATTCCGCAAGATATTCTGATAAATGTGCTCACCTGCCTCTCACGCGCGCTCAAAAAGGGTGCGTTTTTGACCCTATGTTGCAAAAAAGTCTCCGTAAAAAACTGCCCACTTGGGCTGATAAGTTCTAATTTTTCTGTCGTGCAATGCAGACCCTACGCTAACCAGCTGTATACTTACTTTGTCCAGGCCTTACTTTTTAGCAAGTAAGAGGGATGATTTATCAGAGGATGTCAAAACCGACCTGCCTCTCCTTTTTAACTCAAAAAATTCCGAGCTTGGATCGTGCAAGGTTTCCACTCAAACTGTTAGATGAGGGGATCCTAGTAAGTCATTTTATGATTAAACTAATTCGCTCCCCGGGTTTTGAACTGAAATATTGCTGGTCCAAAACTCTTGGTGAAAAAACGACATTAAGATATCCGGTACCTAATATTATTTACCGGCGTTTTCAGAGCAACGGAAGTTAGCTCCGCTGGCATTACGACTATATGATCTGTTCAAACGATATGGAGTCAGCCTACAAGATGACGAGAAATTGCGCCTATGGGGACTGATAGGAGAACACGAACTACTGGCAAAGTTGGTTTTCCTTCTCACAGAGTCAACATAAACTGTCATATTTTTTCATAACGTTATCAGTTCAAGGAAGTTTACTATGTTAGCTTTCAAAATGAAGCACCAACCTAAAAGCACATACGCATGTTAGGTGTTCCTTATGGGCCACTATAGTTGGTGTATGACAATTACAGAAGTATCTCGAAGGGGGGGGGGGAGTGAAAAAACGTACTTTTTACGAATAACTGGTTTTATGCTAAACACCTGAACAAAGCGTTCCAAATGAATCCTACAGTCGTTTCGACATGTCCCGAGATCGCTCCTCTGGCCATTGCTTTTCTTAAATGCTTACGTGATTTCTACATTCTGGCAGAAGATTAGTGTTCTAATTTTTGTGCACCACTGCAGCAGTTGTAATTACCTTGCGTGTACTTCAGACGTTGGATCTACGAACCCGAAGGCTTCCTGAAAATCAGTGCCGACGACGAATTGGTTCGCAATACGGACATTTGGCAGATCCAACAAGTCCTGAAGAACGAAGTCTCCACCCTTCAGTGCGCCACTTAGTAATATGAAGGGCTCAGTGCGATCTCAGAACAGTTTACTTCATCCTGTATCACCTGAACTCTTGATAACTTCTGCAAAAAGTTGTTGTATTTTCACTGCTTCAGCGTACTGTTTTTTGACTCAAGATGTCTGTGCCATTAAAAAGGTGATACCGCAAGGCCTTGACCACGGCAGTGAGATTTCATTCGTTGTTTTGTAATAGATATAATCTTTTATTATGATTCCTCCTAAATTACACGGGTATTTTAGGCTTTCCAATTGTCCAGGATCAGTTAAATTAGATATATAGTTGAATTAGTTGTGAAATAGGTTTGCTAGTGCTATTAAACGTTGCTGTTACTGTCGTTGATTGTTATTCGATAGCGATAGATCGTGCAGACTGTAGATTTCAAGAGTAGAATTCCTCCTCTATGATAGTTATTATTTCTCCCTAAGGCAGGGTTCTGATGAAAATCGACCCTGTTTTTGCTTTCTTGGTGATTTGGGCACTCTCATTGTGCAGAAAGCTTCAAAAATTTTGGAGAAGCTCATGCTCGCTCAATACTGAATGATGAGCTTTAACTTTGTCCAACATCCCGATGATGAGCTTCAATTCAAAGTTGGTAGCATCGAATGAATGCGAAAAACGCCAGTCTGACTGAGGTGAGCAGGAATTACAGGAGAATCTAAAGGATCAATCTAGCAGAATCCATACGGAGCTAAAGTTCAATTTGTGCGAGCTTTTTCTCGAGCCATCCGTTTCATGATTGGTGGAACGCTTGCTACGATCTAGATTTTGATAGGCTATGATGATGTCCAATGTATGCAGCTGCTGTCTGGAGCTAGCTTGCTTACTACCTTCGCAAGGTACCGACAGGAGGCACTGATCGCGCGGCAGGCACTAGAGTCAGCGAACGAGCGCGCTAGACTCGCCGCTACCCGCCTTTCTTGCCCGAAGCAACGGGCCTCTATGCGTACGCCCTTACGCGCATTCTCAGCGACGGTAAAATGGCAACTGGGTAACCCAACCATAACCTGAAAACGACTGCAGAAAGTCCCCACTTCGCTGCCGCTAAAGACTTGCATGTCATCGAAGGTGATTGTTGAGTCCGTACCAGGGTCAACCGTCACGTTGGACCGATTTCAAAAATTTTACGACCCCCCCCCTTCTAGAGGGCCTCGATACGACCCCCCCCTCAGGGTCAACCCTTCACCACCCTCGCCTGCCATCGCCATCATGGGGCTCATTCTATAGTATTCGATTCTGAGACCAGTCGACACAGCCCAAACTCCGCCCACTTTTTTCCTCCAAAATTGCCGTCGAGCGGGGAATTATAATACCACGCTGAAAACGCAAGATTTTTAGCGCGCCAAAAAACTGCATCATCACTTCCCTTACTGCAACATTAACGACATTAACGCTACCTCGCGAAACACGACTCCCCCGTTTTTCTCACACCCCCAAATACGACTTCCCACCCCTCGTTGGACTTTGTCCAACGGACGTTGACCCTGGTCCGGTACTCTCTGTGAGCTGTTCCTCCGAGCTCACCAGTATGAGTAGCAAATGAAGGCCAAAGGAAGGCAAAATGAAAGAATCAGAAAGCCGTCAAACAGGGCATTATGAGCGAACGAACTAGGCTTAGGCGCCATTTGATGTGTACCGTACGTATTTTGATTTTCGCGACGACAAGTTTCCATGTATTACTGTGTTTCCAGTTTCTTGCGAAAGTTTTGAGCAACTTTTGGCAGGGGCTTTTATTCCTACATTAGACTTCTATGAAAGCACTTTTGTGCTTTAGCGTCAACTGTTTCTTTTTTGCTCATTTGGTTGTGCTTCGTCTGATCTCGCTCTGAGCCATATCTTTCGTTCACTTGCTGGTGTCACATATTTTTGGCAGTTACATATCTGTCGCAGCGTTATCAGGTGTGTTGGGTAAAAGGGTCCTTTCAATATCTCCGCACCTCCATTTGCGGTCATTGTTTGCATCACCAGACAATGATAAGATATTCCAGAAGGCCCATTTCATATTAGGTGATTTTCTACTGTTTTTTTTTTCTTTCATTTTGAGAACATGGCGCCTCCTAAAATGTACAGCATCAAAATAAATCCTTACAGGTTTTTACGGCATCAACACCTCTATCGGTCATCTAGGGAAGAACATGGTCATGGCTCATCCTTGCTATTCGACCATAGTTACGAAGAGCAGTGCCCCGCAGTAGAGTACGTTTGTCTACGAATTACGGTTAAAGTTCTATTCAGATCTTTGAGCTCATTGTGCTCTGCAGTTACGTGCTCACGTATTTTTCCTTGGCTGGGCACTTGACTATTAATATGTCTATTCCTTAAAGACAGCGATTACGAAAAGAGGAAGCGCATCGGGAAAGTATGTGCGCCGCATGAAGCAGTTATTTGGCTACGAAGAGCGAGGTGTGGTGCTTTCATGACGAATAGATGCGCCGTCGTGCATTGGCTAAGACCGACGTCATAGTCGGCGACGGACCAAGCGATGGAGCGATCGCGATCGCTCCATCGCTTGTCCGTCGCTTGCCAATCGCTCTCGGTCGAGCGATTGGCAAGCGATTGCGCAATCGTGCAATGTGCAAAGCGACGGGCGATTGGCCCCGCCCCCAGCCAATGCAGTCGGCTGCGGTATCGATCGAGCAGAGCCATTGCCCGTCGCTTGTGCACTTTGCAAGCGATTGCGCAATCGCTTGCCAATCGCTCGACCGAGAGCGATTGGCAAGCGACGGACAAGCGATGGAGCGATCGCGATCGCTCCATCGCTTGGTCCGTCGCCGACTATGACGTCGGTCTAAGCGGAAACCTCCGCCCCCAAAAGCGATCCGCCCACTAGTTTAGTTGGTGATTTGGACGAGCTGCGTTGCCAGCAGCGGCACAACTGGAGCAACTCGATTGTAGCATGGTTGCATGGTGCCACCAAACGCCTTGCGGTGAACTCGTTCATACGTCCGACTTCTGAGCTGTTACCTGTTCATGAGTGGAGAACCAATGGCCGAAAAAAGAGGGTCCCGTTTTGCGTTTTCTTGACGGATTTCTCTGCTTTTTTTCGCCACTAGCATACCACTGAGCAACACCGTTTTCTCTGACCTTCCTACAAATTATCGTAATCGCTGCCGTTAAGCAAGAGCAATCAGCATTAGTTCATGTTGCACATTCGAGGGTGATTCTTAAGGTTTTATTTCTGAGAATAGAAGTAGTTGTGGGCGGTGTATTGTGTTGTATCGAAGATCATCGCGATCCATAAAGAGGCACCTTAAGTGAGCGTTTGAAACGCACGCAACATAGAACGAAAGCTTGAAATTAATCAGAGTTCGGAGTAAGTGGGTCTATTGGTTCTAATATCAATTGTGTTTTTGCTACCTTCCGCTACTGCATGACTCAGGACCTGTATTTGGAGATTGTGGAATCTTATCTTAATAGATTTTGGTTGTGTAACTATCACCTGTTCTTAGTTCAGGCCGAATCACTGGTTTTTGAACCAGACGCCTAGCGAGAATATGCATTTCAATAACGTACCTCAGCAAGTAATTCGTGAACTGTAAGTGGACTCGTACTGTTTCTGTTCCCTTGTTTTCTGATTAATGTTTTGTTTAGGAGGTCTTTCGACGACTTCGGGTTACTTTCTGCTCAGATCATGAAGACCGATTTTACACAAACACAATCTAGTGCCGCACCTTTCATGGATAAGCTGTTAAGGTTTCTTTCCCGTCCTTTGTAGAATTACACGTTCTCGTTATTTGGGGTTATTGAATTTGTGGAAGCGTTAGCATCCTGATAGCAAGGAGTTTCCATAGCATATGAATTGCTTGAATGCTTGCGTGGCTGTTGTGGAGGATGTTTTTGCAGTTATGAAGTTCCATCTATAAGCAATTCTGCTGCTATTCCCACAACTGCGGATCCGTCGGAGCTGGGTGGATCATCCGAAAATAGTGATATTGAACAACTAGAAGAACTAATTGATCAAGGGTACGACGTCTCTGCTGTGCTACGTGACTTGTCATCAGTTGAAGTACAAGGGTACTATTTCACGTGATTTTACTAGGCATTGCGTCCTTTCGCATCACATTCATTTCCAGAGAGATCTGCGCAGTAGCGCCTGATACGGTTACGAAACCAGTGGTGAAGGGAAAATCGAACCAACAGATTGAACAACTCAAGAGCCCTTCTTTAATAGAAAAAACAGTTAGTAGCGACTCAGTTCACCATGAAGGTAAGGTCTCATTCCACAGGAGTATTTCCTAGATATAAAACTACTGCTTTAGATGCTCTTCCCTCTTCCTCGGAACACTTCAAAACCCATCGTTTCGACCCTGATGTTCACCGTGAATTTAGAGCATCTGCCGATGAGATTATTGCCGCCGTTCATAATCAGGTGCTCTTCAATTTCCATGAACAGAAATTTGAATGGTTAAAGGAGATTTATTGTTATTATTATTGTACTAAATTATTGAAGCATTCGGATTTTAGGATCTGGCATCTCTACGATCCATCTTAACAGAGAGAAAATGGCCGGACCACCGCAGCATTGGCGCCTATTTGGATCAACTTTTTGAGCTTGTTATACGTGACAGTTATGACACCGACGAAGCTGTCATGTTCCTCCAGGACTTGTGCGTAAATGCTTTGTTAATAGAGCACCGTCATTACATTTCATTTTTTCCGCGTCTTTGTAGTACCTCTGTTCTCATGAAAAAACGGTGATACATTTTGGTCTCTGGGCCCCTCAATTTACAACAGTTGCTGTGTTTGGAGTTTTCCACTTCGAAGTCTACAATTGTTTTATATTCCTTTTTGATTTTTTTGCTTATTTTTGTTTATACTTGACTCATTCGTAACACTGTTTCAGTGCCGTGTGTAATCGTCGGGGTTTCCTCCACGATGTGAACGGTGTCCGACTAGCTTTGCGTGTTGCTCGTGATAGTGGATCGGTGGAGTCGGCCTCAGAGATGTTGCGGGTCTTTCGCAACATGTTCCTTGTCAAGTCGCGTAAGTTATCCACTATCGTGAGCTATGCATCTGCAAGTGCTGAATTTGCTACCATGTCTTTTTTTATTCAAGCTGTGAATTCAAAGTCGTCTCCCATCAACACTGGTTTTGGAGGAATTCTACTCAGCGTTATGCCATATCGGTTAGCACATAATTCCTTTGTTATTCTTCTCACACTTTATTTTTTAGAACTTCTCTATTCAGGTTCCCCAGAGCAAGTGGAAAACGTTCATAAGATCATGGTTTCATTAGGATTCGACAGGAACTCGAATATATTCCTACGTTGCGTCACAAAATCCTTAATAGAGATGAGGTACTGAAGTGTCTATGTGAATTGTACTGAATTGAGTGAGTAAGTAATTCGATTTTCTCAGTGATATTAGTCGAGCATTTGGTGAATGGCAGCGATTATCAGTGCGTTATGGATCGACAGGTAGGTTCGGAGTTGTTTATGGCAAGGATTATTCTCTTCAAGTGAAGAATCGAACAGAGCAAGAACGGCTGGCCAGTATGTTTTTGTTTCAACGGTCGTTACATTTAGGAAAATACCAGCCACTTTTCCCTTCCAGATAGCTGCTGAAGCATTGTTGCCAGCAGGACCATCCTTTTGCTGTCATTTCGAGTCTAGTTATTTCGCTAGTTCAAATGAAACATCTCGACGCTGCGAAGGCGGTGCTTGTCAAGGTACTGATGCTTCCATACAGTCCAAAAACGTGTACTTAGCGTTTCTCTAAAGCTAATTTCCGTTTTAGGTAGCAGTTCCTGGAAGGTTTTTCAAGAAGCCGCTTTCCTGCATTGCTCGTTGCGAGGTTATTCTTATCTTCACAAATTTTTGTGTTTTTGTTTTTTGCCATTATCGAAAATGCTTTTAATAGCTACCGCGCACTTCTTTGTTTCCTTTTTTGCAACATAGTGGTGTGAAGTCGCCAAATTAAGACAGAATCCGACTTTCCTCTTCTGGGCGCAAGAGGTTTTCAGCTGCGAACCCGTCAGGTTCACACCGGTCATCAATGGACTGGGTGCCGCATGAAATAAGGCTTCGCGCTGAAAAAACGAAAAAATTCGGCGGTTTGGTCAGCGGCCGCACTCGTTAAACATGGTGCCGGGTGAAGAAAATAAAGAGTGAAGAAATAATAGGTTGCCGGAAGCAATCTGAAAGAGAATCATTCAAATCGCCACAGGCGTAGCCATTGAGCGACATGCTGTAGGCGACCGCAACTCCTTTCTATGTAGCGAATTCTTCGAGATTATCTATCAGACAATCGATATCACGGCTTAGAGCATTTTTCTGTAAATTGATTTATCAAGCAGTGTCAATTCGTTTAAAATGTTGTTTTAGCACTGGAGCAGCTACCAATTCTTTGATATTCTATGACCTTATTGTTTAGAATTCGTTGGAAATCATGGAGAACTTTGCTGATTTGGTCACACAATGCATGTTTTCTGAAAAGCGAAAAGTAAAGGAAGAAAAAACGGTTGTAGAAGATGCGGTGAGTTACTCCCTTATTTATTACACACCAGGAATTCTGAAAAATCTGCTGAATCCTCGTTTCAGTCTGTTTTATCCCCTGAGCTGTTGTCGGCCTTGGATTCGTTTTATGGTGTGGGACGTCCAAAGCAACAGAAATTCAATCGCGATGACTCGAAGCGTAAATTGCATCGTGTCAACGATGAACAGCTCTTCGAACTCTCTCAATTCATGCAATTACTGTGGTTAGAATGTGCAGGTATGAAAGCTATATCTTTATTCTGTCGTACGGTTATGCAATCAGATTCATGAACTGTTATACGCAGTTTGTGGGAAATTAACATTTTCACCGATTGTGCATGCGACCTTCCCAAGACCGTCTACACCATTGCACTAGCTGCTCTGCTCTCTCTTTCAGTGGGGCTGGGACATATTGAATGACAGCTTTTGTTGTATCCGCGAGTATACGATGAGGGGACGGCCCTAAGCACGTCGTAGCGATACCACGTTTAGATATCGGGACCAATTTTTAGGCGCGCCTAGTCAGCACTGCCACCCGGTAGCAATCCAGTAGTGCTAGCTGCCTTGCACATCTTTCTTTCGATCCCTTTGCATCCGATCGCAGAGAGTACCTTGCGACTGCTTCAGTTCCACCCCTTCAGCGTTTATACGGTCCTTTACTGCCTATTCTGCGCTACCTACCTGCACATTGGACGCCTTCTATTTCCTCGAAGCCGATCTGGCAATTTGCACTGGCCCATTTCTGCACTTTAATAGGGATTTTTTTGTTTCACGAAAATTAGAACCCGCGGCCATCGCGGTTCAGACGTGAGCTTACTCCTGACCCTCTCCCAATCTCTGCATCATTTCATCACCAACTAATTTGAAGAATGAAGGGATCTCTTTAAGCAGTTACTTTCCCACTCCTTTTGAGTGACACTCTTGAATCTGGAGCTTCTTGTTTCTCCCAATGAAGCTTCTGTAAAAACTCTCTGTAAAGCGAAGTTTACTATTTTCAGAAAGGACAAGTGATGTTAACGCAGTCGACCGTCTGATTTCTTGGACAGTTACAAACAGGCTAGAGATCCCATCGCACCTAACTGAACGAATCGTAAAACTCAAAACTACCACTCGCTCTTAAGACTTGTGCTCAGTTAACAGACTTTTGTTGTGATACACTTTGTCTTGGATCTTTGATTGCCTCCTGCCCCTTTATCTCATCGTTGTCACCATTGTACATTTTATAGTTGGCACCTTAGGGGCCGATAGTGTAGGTTCTTCTGTTGTTTGTTACATTTCTGTTTGTAGTTTAGATAGTTTAGGAGGTTGACGTGCAAAGTTGTTTTTCAGAAATTTCTATATTAGGTGGTTAACTTGTTTGCTCGAGCTCTTGTTTACGAGTCATTTTTCCCTTCCTTCAGATACTTCTGCAGTCTAGTTTGTCGAGATAACATTGAGATGTGAGGAGGTGTGTCTTTCGTTGAATAAATGAGGTCGAGAATGCTATGAAAGTCCACTATAATACTACCGTATGTTCACAAAAAGTACCTATAAGATTTCATGTGTCAGAAGTACTTCATGGTGATGTAGGGTTTATTACTTCAGATCAATGTTCGCTTTAAGAAGGGCGGCTGTCTTGCGGTAAGTTTTTTCAAACATTGCTGGAAGTTGCATTTTTGAAGGAAAAGTGCGAGTCCTATTTCATTCACGATGGGGTGCTGAGAGCCTACAGACCTTTTTTTACGCTTTTTCGGTCGCGCACTTCTGCAGCATAAAGAAGCCCATCGGCTCTGTTCCAATAAGGGGCATGAGCTCGGAGCTCTTAAAGCGTTTCAAACACTGAAGGCATACTGTATTGTTTTACAGTTTGGGAATGACCTTGACGTTCAAGTCCGCTGAGCTTTCTTTTAAGAATTTGTACTCTTCGCTCCCAAATGCAGTAGCTCACTCTGTCCCTTCCCAGGAACCTTACCTAGCGTATACCTGGGTGTTTCAAATTCCTAACTTATCTAAGTTCATATATTCTTCGATCTGCGCGAAACATGGAAAACACAAGAAGCTCGAAAGGCCCACGGGATATAACCGTAAGGACGCTGTTTAAGCTTTGAAAAAACCTCCACTGGGAAGAACAGGATGCACTGGCGAGAGACTCCTCCTCACGACAGAGTTGGCAATTCCCCATCCCCCCCCCTCCGCACTCTCCTTCCCCACCTATATTGGGAATAACCCGCGCGTTCCCATGTTCGTACCACTCAGAGCTCTTGTTAGGCTTGCGGAATGCTGCCCCAATAATCGAGGGAAAAATCCACTTTCATACGGTTGATAGAAACTAAACCCGCCTGAATTTGATTTTTGCCAATACATTTTGTCCTAGATCCGCCCCGAACTTGCTTAACTTGCTTATTTAAGGTTACGTCATGTGCGAAGTATGGCAGTGGCAGCATCACAGCCGTCTGGGAGACAACCGCGTGTCCCATTTGCAAGGGATAACAATCGTGGTGTCAGGAAAGTTAGTTATTTTAGCAAATAGCTCGAGGCTTGAGGAAATGCGGCTCTCATGACAGAAGCGCGCCATCAGAGACTTTACGCAAAGTAAATGTTTGCTTTTGCAGCCATTACCAGTCCTACCTGCAGAACAACTTCGACTGCAAAATAAGCACCGAGATGCTTTAGAAAGCAATAGGGCGGAATCCCTTCAAGAAATAATTGAACAGTGCGTTCTATCGTTTTGAGTTGTTTCTTTCTAGGTGACTGACTATTGTAGGTATGTTTACATAGCAGGTGCTATTTACAGTACAGTTAAAATTTTAGCATAGAATGGCGAGGAGTGGTCTACAGCGAAACTCCTGAAAAGGTTTGATTGATTGCTCTAGTCTGCGCTATTTTTTCTCATTTGTATTTTTAAGGTTGCTAAGCTCTTCGCTAATCCTAAAGAAGATCTTACACTGTTGTCGGATCGTCAGTTATCTGTTCTACTATCCACTTTCGGCAATGGATGTGAATCTGTTAGTAGCTTGCGAAGAGCTGCTTTCATGAGTCAAGCGCTTCAAGCTCTGCGTGAAAGAGGTAGAGCAACTTCTATTCTGAATTTTCCATAACTCTTGCGACACATTCACAGTTCTTGGCGAGGTATTGCATGTTTTCTTAAGGAGTCGTCCTTGGTCCCCTTGCAAGAAACGCCATTCTTTCCGCTCGAATTGACAACGCGGAACAAGTAAGTGTAGTGGAGGAACTCAAAGACTGGGAGGCTGCAGGCCTATCACCGGATACTGAAACGTATGGTTATTTGTCGAAGGTGTACGCGAACTCAGCGAATACCCAAGCCATTGTGTAAGTGTCTTTCCAGAATGCCATTAAGACTATTTTGTAATTGTGGAAAATATCGATAAATGACCATGCGTTTAAGGGATATAATCAATCATATGAAGACAAATGGTTTCGCAGTTTCTGAAACCGTACTGGAATCTCTTATCTATTCTTTAAGCAAAGGAGGTCATTATAAGCAGGCCGAAACTTTTGTTCAGGTAAATTGATATTTAGTTTTTAGCCACGTTTTCTATTAATTACTGATGTATTCAATTTTAGAAGTTTATTGCATCTGCGAACGAGGTTGTCCTTCGAACTGCGATAGCTCGAGCAGCAGTGTCTCGTGGTGATTTCTCTGTAGTTTTTAACACAATCGCGGCAATTCCAAGTGGGGCGAAACCAAATCAGGTAATTAATTAGTTTCCTTTTTCAATTCTACACATCAGATGGCGTAAACAATTCTTTCAGATATCTAATAACAAGTATATTCTGGAGGTTTTGATCGATATGCTTGGAAGCCGGTGAAATGGATGCTGTAGAGAAGGTATGT